GCAGAACTATTCCAATTCTACGGGGCCCAACATGTCCTACAGAACACCTTCAACTACAGAAGCCAGACATTGGTCTACTCCAGATAAGCAGCAGATTGGATGTCTCCATAGAGGAGAAGGTAAACTACCGTATTTTTTCTGAGTATAAGACGCTCCGGACTATAAGTCACATCTACCTTTTTTCATGAGGAAAATAAGAAAAAGAAATCTGCCTCTGCCTCCCAGCAATTTTGCCTCATTGCAGCAAACAGCAAACAGCCTGCTTTACTTTCACTTTCGTTTTCAGCATAGCTTGATTAGCACAAGAAAAAAAAAATCTGCTCCCAGCAATTTACCTCCTTGCAGCAAGCAGCAGAGGCCCGCACAGCAATAGGCCATGGCAATCCCTGCAGCCTGAAACAGCTGAGAATCGGGAGGTCGATCCAAGGGACAATCAACTTGTGCTAATTAGGTTGTGCTGAAGCTAAAATGGGCTGTTTCTTCTTGGCTGCTTGCTACAAGGAGGTAAATTACTGGGAGGCAGAGGGCAAAGGGTGGGGGCCAGTGGGTGGGTGGGACTACATTCGGTGTATAAGACGCACCCAAATTTTCATCCCCTATTAGAGGGGCAAATGTGTCTTATACTCCGAAAAATACGGTAATTCTATAACCGAATGCTCCCTTGACATTGTAAATCCTCCCTCTGTGGTAACAAGTCTAGGCAAGCTTGCAACCCTTCAGTTTGCTCCACTACTCCCTAATATAGTAATTTTCCAGGTGCAGGGAAGTTGGGGATCCCTCATTCAGATACTCCCAATCTGGTTGTCTCCAAGCTTAGATCTCTCTCCTCAGTAAGAACTAAATCTAGCTCTTCAAGACAAGAATAATTGTCTCATTTTCTCTCAGCGATATGCAGTGGAGATAGGAGACCTACTGCCAAATATCTGCCTCCAGACTGAAATAATGAAGCTCAGAAGCAACTTCAGAACTTCACCTTCTCTCCACTTTCTCTTCCAGGACTTCCATTCTCCGGCTTCAACTTCTATCTACAGAAGCTTCCAAAAGTATCTGAAACTTCCATTCTCCAAGTCCTTGCAAATATTACCCTTCTTGAAACAAATGAAGTACTGACATGACTATCTTGTTGACTTCCAACCTCAAGGATGGGGCATTTTTTTTCTCTCAAGCCAATGCTTGGATGAACTTATTTTTTTCCATTTTCCATTTAGTTTGAAAATGTAGGAAAAGGGGCCAGGATAAGAATGGCCTTCCACTTTTTGTCATATTGAAAGAAAGACCGTGTTTCCCCGAAAATAAGCCCTCCCTGAAAATATTTAAACGCACGGGCAGCCGGTCCCCGCCATTTCCTCTGGTTAGGGTTAGGGAGACAGAACTGGAAATCAGGTAAGAAGGCAAGAGGAACCCCGTCTTGCTCCATGCACCCCAAAATAATAAGACCTCCCCGAAAATAAGACCAAGGGCTTAGTTCAGGGTTCAAAAAAATATAAGACAGGGTCTTATTTTGGGGGAAACTGTCAAGTATTTGCAAGCCATTGGCACATGTGTCATATAGACACCAGTGGAGGCAGAGAGTGTCTCCACCCCTATGTGGAAAGGAGGGGCTTACCCTGAGTATAAAACCCCCTCCAACCTTTTCCACCTCGCTCTCTCTCCATCTCTCTCTCTTTTCATGTTTGTTCCTCATGAGACTTGATCTCTGTTGTACATAGTTAATATGATTTATTATATGAATAAATACGTTTAAGACATTTATGCATCTGCCTCTGAACTCTTCTATGCTCCTGGGTGTTTCTACGATCCCAATTCCACAGAAACACAGTAATTTGGTAACATACTTCTGAGGCCTGCAAGGGCCACGCTAAAGGTGCTTAGAATGTGAACATGCATTTTCTTGAATGTTTCGCTTGGTTAATTTCTGAATCACCCGATGAATCATAGCATCCATGTTTCACGCTTTTGCACCATGGGAAACTTTAGATCAGCCTATGGGTCCTACAACCCTTGGACCTCATCGGGACATGGGTTCTAGCTCTATTCTGACTGGTCCTCCCCATCTGGAGCCCATCCTCACGTCTATTCTTTTTTACAGACCACCGGTTCATTAATAGATGGCGGGGTGGGGGGCAAATGAAGAGACCCTGAAAAGAATATTAGGAAGACTCTGTAAACAGTCCGATGTACCTTCAGGTCTTGCAAAGACATTTCAGTACGTATAGGGCAAAGCCAAGAGTTTTAAAAGAAAGGCAGAACTTTGCTAGATGTCATACATGCCAAATGCCGATGCGATATGAGGTTATAGCCTTATTCCACATTTACCTAATTCCTTTGCCGTGAATTATACATGAGGAAGCAATGCTTGTATTTCCAAGCTACAGCAAGCCCTAAAGATTGTCTCATCCTTGCCGAAAAGCAAACAAGGGAAGCCATAACCCAAACACCACTGCATGCAGTACTCTCTCGTCAACATGCAGAGTAAGGATTGAGAACAGTAGTAGTAGATAAACACAGGTGTAGACAACAAAACCAAGGAGCAAAGGTGTTAACTAAGCTGACCGAGGCCTCAACTCCCTGAGCAAATGACCTTCTATGGCACTAAACTGTTTATTGCAGAGATAACACACAACTGTGAAGTCAGTTTAATGCAAGAATACCTTTCAGAGAAGCTAGTTTAAAAGCCCATCCTCTGGTTGTACAGAGGAAGAGGTTAACCAAAAGGGATTTCTGATATGAAATGTGGAGTCGGCCTTGTTCTTTAAATCCTTTTCATTGATCACCGGAAGGGAAATGAGCTTCCGCAGACAAATATTCCCCATTGATTTAGGTCACAGAAGCCACACAGCTTTCTACACCTGTATTCCTATTCCGAGCAAAATTGTGTTACATTATTTTGCCTTTCCTCTGCCTCCGTCTCCCTTTCACTTTAAACCCATCGTACGTCTTTTGTAGTTTCTGGGAAAATGACATTGAGGAATGGAAGGGAGGGAAGGTCTAATGGCCCATGTCAGTACAATCCATGTGTAAAAGAAAACCCCCCTCCCAACTCTGGTTTTTTTTTTAAAAAAAAGGAGTCGTTAAAAAACGTTGATACCCCGGCATCGGTTAAAAATGATATATTATTTCCTTCTGTAGCCCTCGAGTTTCAGGCCTTGCAATCTTTTCAGGAACTTTATCTTGAAAAGTTTCCCTCAAGCAAGAAACTGTAAACATCAGAAGAATGTTTGGAATGAATTTTTTTTTTTAAAAAAAAGGAAAGCAGAGTTGTGTTGGGTTCATGACATCATTTCTATTATTCCTGTCACCCGTTAATTCGGACCGAGCATAAGCTTTGGGGTTTGTTTGTTTGTTTGTTTGTTTGTTTCCAGAGCCCTGGAATTTTTTACATTTTAAAATCCCAAGGAATTTGGGGAAGTTTGAAACGGGACGGAAATAACGGGGCAGTTTGGCTGGGAGTTTGTAGCCTAGTTTTGGTCAACTCCTGTTGGCTTCCCATGGAGATGCTAGGAAGGTTTCGTCCTTTTATTTGGTGACAGGATGCCAAGGAGACTTCCTGCCAAGGAAGGATGACAACTCTCAAGAGCACACGCACAAAATCAAAAAGAAAAAAAAAGAAAGGAAGAAAGAAAGGCAAGATGCAAGCAAACTCTCTAGAAGCAGGCTGGAGGAAAGCTGAGTTGTGTAGGGGGGAAAAAAAACGATTACGACTTACTTGGCAAAGGGAAACCAAGTTGCAAAGTCATTCTGCCTCTGAAGGAAGAATCCAGAAGGGCGGTGAAGGTGCCTGACGGTTGGTAGTCCTGCTCTCCCACTTCCTCTGTGCCCCCCAAAACACACACACTCTCTCTCTCTGTGGTGCCCGCGCTGGGCAAGGCGCAATGTCCCAGCTTCGAGCTGGCCCAGCCTCGCTTCCTGAGGTCAGAGTTCATCTGCGGGGTACCTTCCAGCAGTTCAGTGGGTGTGAGGATAAAAGGCACTAAAGCAATAATCTCAAATCAATCCGTTGTGTCCTGGGGGAGCCCCCAAATCTCCCCCCCCGCCCCTGTCCAACAACAGCTGTAGAAAGAACTGGGCTGCAAAGTTGAATGCATATAATAAATACGTTTTTATTTTACATTCTAAGAATGCACCAAAAGGCATGCTTCTGCACCTTTTCGTTGTTGTTGTTGTTGTAGTTTAGTTTTGTGTTTCCTGATTTACAGACTCTTTTAGGCATCGCTATATATAAACTGACCTTTAAGTTTCCACAAGAGTTTCTCCCTTTAAGGGTTGAAGTCAGTTCCTTTCCAACAAGGCCAAGGCAGAAGCCAACTAATTTCCCTGAGTAAACACAGGAAAATAATTGAAACTATGTAATGAGTGCTTCCTGGCCCTTCGGTCCCAATAAGCAATTAAACAAACAAAAGAGAAAGAAGTATTATCATCATCATCATCATCATTTTTTTTTTTTGGTTGTTGTCTTTTTCTTTTTTTTAAACCAAACTCATGCATTAATTAACTGGAGCTATGCCTTTTCGTCAAAGAGGCCATAATGCTGAATATTGGAACATGCTTTGATCTCCAAATGTTGTACCCATTTGACTAACATATGCACTTAAATACAGTACTTTTTTTTTTTTTCGGTTACTAATTAGATACTTCGTAAAATCAAAAGGAGTGCACTTTTGGTGAATGCAAATTGAAACCAAGAAATAAATAAATAAGTAAGTAAGTAAGTAAGTAAGTAAGTAAGTAAACCAGGCCTATTGTAAAGGAGGTGGGGGTCAAAACAAAAGCTTATTTCCCTATTTTCTGAGGTAATGGGCCAGGCATGCAGTTATAAAACAGAGAAGTATCAAAGTCCACATGCTTCTATTAAATTCTATTGTGCTGTCTTGCAAGTGAGGCGCTAGAAATATTTGCATCCAGTTCTGGATGGATCTCGGGACCTTTTGCCCCTTACAGACCCCCCCTGAGCAGCACTGCAGACGTTTTGTCTCCCCCACCCCACCCCACCCCTACCCCACCCCTGGGATGGGTATGCCTCAGAAGGGTGTACCACAAACCCAGAATGACCTGGCAATATTTTCGTAAAGTGCTGTGGGTAAATCTGTCTACCCGGACCTGCCAACCCCTTTTTTTGCCAAAGGGACTAGATTAAATCAGTCCTCCTAAGCAGTGGGAAAATATCTACTGCACTTTTATTACTGCTGAATATAGATTGGATGCATGTTCTCGGATGCATTGTGCAGGTTTTGGTTTTTTTTGTTTTTTTTAAATAGAAACTTTTTTCCTGTATTCCATGCATATTTGTAAAAGTCCTCTCAAGTTGATTGTTTAAAAAGTAAGCGAACGAACCCCCCCCCCAAAAAAAAAACAACACAAAAAAAAAAAAAAAAGAAAAGAAAAGAATTCTAGGGCTAGAAGCATATGATACTTATTTATAACTAGACTAGTCCCAGGAATGATCATTAACTATTCATACCCACCGGAAAATAACTTTTGGAAACGAAATTCCTTCCCCCTCCTGCACCAAAAATAATAATAATAATAATATCTCCCAAAAAATTGTGAATCTCGTTCATGGATCCTGAAAGCTTCTTGAGCCGCTGAGCAAAATTTGCAATGCAACCACATTATTTCGAGGTAAAGCATTCAAACGACATATTCGCCAAGCATCTGCAAAGAGGGGCCACTCAATCCCCCCCTTTAACTTCTCCAAAGCTACCAACGTGGTTTCGTTTTTTGTGTTGTATTGTTGTTGTTGTTGTTTTTTCCCCTTCCCTAACGTAGCCTAAACATCTGTCAGTAGCTTGGTTTTATTGACACAGTTTTGGTTGGCTAAGGTGTAGTTTCCAGTTCTGAGGGTTGCCTCCCTAAAATTGTCTATGCTATTATTCACATCCTCTTCAATTTCCATATACTCGGATTTGCTGATGGTGGAGGAGCTACGGCGACTCAGGTCAGAGTCAGAGGCTAAGTTAGGAGAGCTAACTTTAAGTAACTGAGCCTGTTCCTCCCCTTCTGTTTCTCGGTGGTAGAAGTAGTTGAAGTTGGACACAATGACAGGTACAGGCAGGGCAATTGTCAGCACACCAGCAATGGCACACAAGGAGCCCACGATTTTGCCTCCAATTGACACAGGGTACATGTCACCATATCCCACAGTGGTCATGGATACCACTGCCCACCAGAAAGCATCGGGGATGCTGTCGAAATGAGTCCCATTTTCCTCAGCTTCAGCAAAGTACACTGCGCTGGAGAACAAGATCACCCCAATGAAAAGGAAAAAGATAAGCAAACCTAACTCCCTCATGCTGGCTTTGAGAGTCTGTCCCAGAATCTGGAGTCCCTTAGAGTGCCTGGAGAGTTTGAAGATGCGAAAGACTCTTACCAGTCGGATGACCCTCAGGATGGCCAGAGAGGTAGCCTGTTCTCCTTTGGGAGGCCCCTTCTGCTCAGCCATCTCTGTGCCCAGAGTGATGAAGTAAGGGATGATGGCCACTATGTCTATGAAATTCATGATGTTCTTGAAGAACTCAGCCTTGCTCGGGCAGGCGATGAAGCGTACCACCAGCTCGAACGAAAACCAGATGATGCATAGAGTTTCCACCACGAAGAAAGGGTCGGTGAAGATGTTGGGTTTGCGGTAGATGGTGGAGTTGTTCGTGCGGTTGCGGAATACATATTTCTTGTCCTGAGCCTTTAAATCTGGCAAGGTTTCCAAGCAAAAGATTACGATGGAGATTAAGATCACCATGACGGAGATGATGGCAATCACCCGAGCTGCCCCGGAGCTCTCCGGGTATTCGAAGAGCAGCCAAATCTGTCTTTGATATTCCTTCTCAGGTAAGGGCCTCTCTTCCTCCTTAATAAAGCCTTCATCCTCTCGAAATTTCTCCATGGCCTCCTCCCCCAGTTCATAGAACTTGATCTCCTCGGAGAACATGTCCAAAGGAACATTCACTGGCCGGCGAAGCCGTCCCCCAGACTGGTAGTAATAGAGGATGGCATCGAAGCTGGGGCGATTCCGGTCAAAGAAATACTCGTTCCTCAGTGGGTCAAAGTACCGCATGCGTTTCTTGGGGTTCCCCAGCAAAGTGTTGGGGAACTGAGCCAGGGTTTTCAGCTGCGTCTCGAACCTCAGGCCAGCAATGTTAATCACCACCCGCTCACAGCACTCGTGGTCCTCGTGAGACCCTGGCCGGTAGCTGTCCTGAGGGTGGCCTGGCAAAGCCAAGGTTTCATCCAGGTTGTCCCCAACCAGGACAGTCATGATGGGAGACGGAGAGTTGGGGCCCAAGGCAGGAGGAGTCCCCTCCCAGAGCCGGCCAGTGAGTGATGGAGGGAGGAGGACTTCAGAGATAACAAGAAATCCGGGGTAGGAGTTAGCACATGGGTGCGGGTGGTGCTGAAGTGGACAGCTCCTGGGATAGAGCTAGCACATCGGTGCGAGTGGTGCTGAAGTGGACAGTTCCTGGGATAGAGCTAGCACATCGGTGCCAGCGGTGCTGAAGTGGACAGTTCCTGGGATAGAGTTAGCTCATCGTGCCAGCGGTGCTGAAGTGGACAGCTCCTGGGATAGAGTTAGCTCATCGGTGCCAGCGGTGCTGAAGTGGACAGTTCCTGGGATAGAGTTAGCTCATCGGTGCCAGCGGTGCTGAAGTGGACAGCTCCTGGGATAGAGTTAGCTCATCGGTGCCAGCGGTGCTGAAGTGGACAGCTCCTGGGATAGAGTTAGCACATGGGTGCGAGTGGTGCTGAAGTGGACAGCTCCCGGGCCAGGAGACGGCAAGGATGAAGCAGGGGAAGTCAAGAAAATAAAACGGGGAAGGGCCGGGCCGGAGGGAGTCCTGGCTGGAGAAAGGAAAGGAAATGGGGAAGGGGGCTAGTCATTGGGCGGGGTGGGTGGGGTAGGAAACCAGGCAAAGGAGTAAATCGGACTGGCTCCCGGAAGGCAGGAGGAGAGTCCGGGCCTCCTCGCACGTGTGGGTGGGTAGAGTAGTAGTGTGGGGGGGGGGCGGAGGGGAAAGAGAGACAGGCTACGAGATGGAGCTCCACCAGTCTTTGGCCACTTGGACTTTTCTTGCAGGATGGGCCACGCGGCGGCGGCTGCTGCGGCGGCGACGGCGGCTGCTGTTGCACTGCGGCTCCTGCCACACTTTGCCTCCTCGCACCCGATAAATAAATAAACAAACAAACAAACAACCGCTGCTTCTGCGGCGGCGGCACGGCGGCTGAGGTGAGGTAGCCCAGATGCCGGCTCAGCAAGATCTGGAGACTTCCCCCTGGCTCTGGGCTGGCCCTTGCTTACCAATGTGGGCTCCCCTGAGGTTCGTGGGGGACGGACGGTTTACGGGCATAGACTGCAAAGGATAAGAAGGTATTCATTTTTTAAAAAAAAAGATTTCTTTTTTTTCCCCTCCCTCCCTCCCTCCCTCCCTCTCCTTCCCCAGCCCAGCACACCAAAGCCACAAAAAGGCCAAAGCAGAAGTGCCGCATGCTTCCAGGAACACCAGCCCCAGAGGCTTTCAAGCTTGCCCACCTGAGCGTGGACTCCCGCCTCGGAGCTCCACGCCCGCTAAGTTCTCGGATCGCCCCCCCCCCCCCCCCGCCCCTCCACCACCCCCAGTTCGAACGCGCCGCGGACAGCCTCCGGTCGGGTCATGCACTGCAGCGGAGAGGCGGTCACCCGAGTGGGAAGCGAGGAAGCAAAAATAAAAATAAAAAAAAAATCCGTAAAGGCTGGAAGAGCTTTTAAAAGTTTTTTTTGGGGGGGACATCAGGGGGGTGAGGGGGGGCACTTAAGATAGCGGTGCAAAAGGGGCGCGAGGAGTGGGAAAAAATCCGTCCGGGCTCAGTCGCCCCTCCACCCCGTCCTCCTTCTCTCCCCTCCCCACGCGCGGCATCCCAGCTTTCCCGCAAAGCAGCGCAAAGTTGCTCTGGCTCTCCTTACCTTGCTGCGGGAGGTGGTGGGGGGGACGAGAGCGGTGGGGGGGTGGGGGGAGAGAGCGGTCCTGCTGCAGCGCCCGCGCTCCGAGCCCGCTCAGGATGCGTCAAGGCGCGTTCGCCCGCAGCACTCTCAGACCCCCCAGCAACACCGCCGTCGGTCGGACTGCGCCGAGGCCACCTCCGCGGATCACTACCACCACCAAACCCCCCAGCAACCGCCGGGCTACGGGGAAGCCGGTCAGGAGCGGGGAAGTTGTTGAGGCTGGGGGACTCTTGGGCGTCCCCCGCCTCCCAGCTCCGGCAAGGCTAGGCGGGCGAGCGGGCTGCGGGTCTGCCTTAAGGATGGATGGAGCGGCGCGGTCCTCCTCCTCCTTCTCCTCCTCCTCCTCTTTCTCTTTGCGTGGCCTCGGCCGGGGCTGCCTCGGCTGGCGGGGACGCCGAAGAGCGGGAGCCGGCGGGCGCTTGCGGCAGAAGCGGAGTTCAGCCGAGCCGGGCCGGCCATCCCCGACCGCGCTGCAGCCTCAGCAGAAATTGCCAGCGCTTGGGCGCAGCTGCAGCTCAGCCGTTGCGCGGGGAGGGGAGGGGAGGGGGGGAGGAGGAGAGGAGAGGAGAGGAGGGCGGGGGCACAGGGAGAGGAGGAGGAGGAGGAGGAGGAGGTGGAGAGGAGGGGGCGCCTGTCCTGCGCTTCCTCTGCTGCGCTGCGCTACGCTACGCTTCCACTACCCGGCCGTTGGCGCCCACCCTCCCACCCACCCTCTCAGGGAAAGCGCTCGGCCGGCCCTCCTCCTGCCCGCCCGCGCCCTTCCAGAGAAAAATAGACCGAGGTCACGGCGTTGCGCACACCGGTCGGAGCCGGACCCGGCGCAATGCAGCCATTGCCTGCGGCTGGCGAGGTGGGTGGTGGCGGGCCAGCCCGCCGGGGTCTTCCTGCGCTCTCTCCGTCTCCATTGGGTACCTCTACCCTTCCCGGGGGTCCCTTCACCTTCCTCCCCCCCCGGCAGACCCCAGGATCGTTTCCCCCCTCCCCTTCCCCTGGAGGGGGGGGGGCTTGGTTTTCCTAGCCACTCCGGTGGGTGGCTTGGATCCTAGGCCAAGCCAACCGCTTTAAAGGAACGCGGGCCCCGTGCGCTTCCTCGGTCTCCGCCGCCGCCTCCGCCGCCGCAGAGCGGGGTTGCAGCAAAAAAAAAAAAAAAAAAAAATCTTGGCAGCCGGGTTCTGGCAAGCGCGGCCCGTCCCCTGCAGAGCAGCCGCCCCGGCGGGGCACCCCCCCTTCCTTTATCCCCCCCCCCCCCCCCCCCCCCGCCCCTCCCCCCCCCCCCCCACGCCCCGCTCCTGAATTTGGCCACACTCTGGACGTTTGCAACGGGAATGGCCAGTCTGGAAGGCATTAAGAGGAAGGGGGAAGGCTGAGACTTAAGGCTCCCCCAACTCCGCAGGGTTGGGAGAGGGAGGGGGCCGCGGGGGGGGAGGGGGAGAAGTTAGCAACCGAGGCTGTCCACTCGCACCCCCACCCCACCCCACCCCCAGAAGGCCAGGACAAACCACGCCTGAGAGTGACCACAGTTCTTAAGAGGCAGAGCTGGGTTCCAGAGAAGGCAAGGCTGGTACAAACGCAGGCCGTCCTCGACTTACGACCACAACGGAGCGCCCACCCACCCCCACCTCCGATTCTGCGTGCTAAGTTAAAAAAATGGGGATTTATTATTTATTTTATTTATTTTTAATTTTTAATTTGATTTATATGCCGCCCTTCTCCGGAGACTCAAGGCGGCTTACAAGGCGTTAAGCAATAGCCTTCATCCTTTTGTATATTTTATACAAAGTCAGCTTATTGCCCCCCACAAACCGGGTCCTCATTTTACCCACCTTAGAAAGGATGGAAGGCTGAGTCGACCTTGAGCCTGGGGAGAATTGAACTCGCAGTAATTGCAGGCAGCTGGATGTTAAATGCTGCCTTAGTAGGAGGCATTAGCCTCCTACGCCACTCAGGCTCCTCAGGCGCCACTCAGCTTTGCCGCCCCCCCCCCATTTTTAGAATCTTTCCTGCCACGGTCGTTGAAGTGAAGCACTGCAGTCCTTGAAGTTACTGGGAAGTCAATCCGGTTTCCACCCCCCCCCCCCCACTTTCCCCCCCCCCCCCCCCCACCCCCCGTGGACTTTTTGGTTTGTCAGGAGGTCACCCACCCACCCACCCAAAAAAAACAACAAAACCCGGGGATCACGTGACCCAGGGACACTCCTGCAACCGTCATTAAATAGAAGTCGGTCGCCAAGCGATAATTGTGACCGTGGGATGGTGGGGAATGCTGCCACGGTCGTAAGTGTGAAAAATGTTCAAAAGTCACTCTTTTTGTTGTTGTTGCTTTGAACGGTCGCTAAGTGAATTGTGGTAAGTCGAGGACTACCTTCCCCTCCCTCACACACCCCCACCGACACATCTCTTTGGGGGTGATGGAAAACTGGTCTCCCTGAGGTTAGTTAGATCAGAGCGGGGGGGGGGAGTGGGTCTTCCCCACTGTAGCAGATCGGAAACCTGGACATTGGTTAACAGCTGACAGTAAGAGAGTTGGAAGGGACCTTGGAGGTCATCTAGTCCAACCCACTGCTAATGCAGGAGAACCTGTTCTAGGGATTCGAACCACCGAACTGCCGACCTTTCCGATCGACAAGCTCAATAAGTGGCAAATACTTTGAATTCCTAGATCAATGCCACCAAAAGCGGGGGAAGTGCGGGGGGGGTCATACGCATGTGTGCCACCACCCATAATTCAAAGTGCCCTGCCCTCCCCCGCGCATGGGCTTGCAACCCCCCTGCGTTCCCCTCCCCGCTTTTGGCATGTGATGGCACTGTGGGCCCGTAGGCCCGTTTTTTGCCCTCCCCAGGCTCCAGAGGCTTTTTTGGAGTCTGGGGAGGGCGAAAACAGCCTTCCCCAGCCTCCCGGAGACTATCCGGAGGCCAGAAATGGCCCGTTTCCCGACTTCTGGTGGGTCCAGAAGGCGCAAAAATCAGCTGGCTGGCTCGTGCATGCGCACCGTAGCTGAGCTATGGCAACGCTCACGTGCCCACCGATATGGCTCAGCGTGCCACCTGTGGCACGCGTGCCATAGGTTCACCATCACGGTCCTAGATAATTTATATTGATTTCAATTAGCAGTATAGATAGTCCTCCGCTTAAAACCACAACGGAGCCCAAACGTTCCACTGATAAGCAAGACAGTGGTGAAGTGAGTTTTGCCCCATTTTACGACCCTTCTTGACACCGTTCTTAAGTGAAACTTGCTTCCCCCACCCCCCCGAATTTGCTCGTCAGAAAGTCGCAAAAAGGGGCTCGCATGACCCACCGCCGTAAATATGAACCAGTTGCCAAGCGTCCCAAATTTGGATCCTGCGACCGTGGGGATGTTGCAACGGTCGTAAGTGTGAAACAAGTTCCCTCCATCCGTACTCCAAATGTGTCTTGTACCGCTTCTCTCTGGCCTCGTTGGGAAACCAAGGGAAACCTTGGGATGGATATGCAGAATTAGGCTCCCCGGGAGTGATCTTCTTGAGTTACATTCTTGTTCAAGCCGTTGCAGATTCTTAGCAGATTCCTGGCAACCCCTCTAGGTATCCTGTGGAGATCCTTGGCAGTCGTGAGTCTCATCCTGAACAGGAGGCAATCTGACCACGGCAAAGGACCCACTCTGATGTCTTCCAATTTTAGATTGCACATCAACATTGTCTTCTTCTTCTTCTTCTTCTTCTTCTTCTTCTTCTTCTTCTTCTTCTTCTTCTTCTTCTTCTTCTTCTTCTTCTTCTCCTCCTCCTCCTCCTCCTCCTCCTCCTCCTCCTCCTTCTTCTTCTCCTTCTTCTTCTTCTTCCTCCTCCTCCTCCTCCTCCCCCTCTTCTTCTTCTTCTTCTTCTTCTTCTTCTTCTTCTTCTTCTTCT